CCGTTTCCTGCGGTTCAGTCGTAACCTTTTAGATCCGTTCTGCTTTTTTATGTTTGGTCTGATTTTCTTGATGATGAGGTGCTAACAAATCAAAATTGAAAATCAAACAGAAAATAAATACCTAAATTTACCTACACGATTCGATATGGACATTCGCCTCACAGATTAACGGTCCTGCAAATAAGCCGCACTTACAAAAACTGCAATAATTTCAATCCAAAATTTTAAGACTCCCTGGAAATTTTTAGCAGCTTCCTGGGACGTAAACAACAAAACATTACATCCCGACTTACGAGAACCAACTATCTACCAACGCACAGATACTCTCTACTCCCGACTTCATAAAAACCTACACGAACATCACAACGGATCTATTGGAAGCGACTGAAGAAGAGCTGTCTGAGAGATCTCCTATCTTGAATTAAGGAAGTAAACCAAATCCTGGAAATTATGCTGCTGGGTAATATTCTTGCTTATGCCTAAAATGAATCTTTTCTTGATGATAACAATATTGTCAAGTTTATGAAAATTAAGGATAAAAATATAAAGACAAAAATTGTTTATTTATTTATTTTTTTTTTTACCTGATGGTTAGCACTGAACGTATAAACTATTTTCTGCGTGATGTAGATTTTAAATCTCGAAATCCCTGAAATAATGACAATAAATTATGTGTTCAATGAATAATGTTTGAGTTTCAACGTTTATTTATTATTTGGAACATTATTATAATATAATTGCACAGGGCGATACTTCATTACCATGTTTAATTTTATTGAATTGTTTCATTAACTTTTAAACTCCATTTGATGAAATGAAAAGATTTGATCTGACAGGAAACTATCACAGCGACACTGAAATATGAGAGGGACTGTATCTGGATAATAAAATATTGATTTCCCACCCCACCTATTTTCTAGGACGAAATGGGTTGTGAAATCTTCGTCTTAGAATCTACGCTGTATTATATGTCGGTTCGTTTGCTACGTCCTTCAGAAAATTATGATTTATAAAGATTGTCCTGATAAAACTTTTAAGCTGAAATTGAAAATGGTCCAGCCCTCGAGGGCACGGAGGCGGCAAAGAAAATGGATTTTAAATCGGATTTCGCTGAACGGTTCTTTTCTCCAATATTTTCTGTCAATATCTCTTCGACTAAATTTAAGAAAATTTAAATAACAGATTACATCTTGAAGAGGTGTTAAATACAGTTAGATAAGTATGCAAATATCATCAGTTATAAAAATACCATATCTTCATAAAAATAAATTTTACCGTTAACTTTATTATAATCTAGTTACATCTATTTTATTATTTTTATAATTATTTTCAGACATCAATGAAAATAATTATTGTATATGCATTACTTGGATATATAAAGTACCTTTATAAAATGTTATTAAATAACCTGATTGAATCTGTAAAATAATTTATTTTGATTTCATATATATTTTATCGTTTCCACATACACCTCTTTATCCCTTAAGCGCTCCATGCGAATCTTTCATTGTCTGAAACAGTTCTGAAAGTCCATCAGAACGTTTGCCGCTTTCTCATTCAGCAAGTTAAACAATTTCATAAATTTCGAATAAAACAATAATCATTAGCTTTTTCGATTCTCGGGGAAATTTGTCATTTCCAGGGCATGGATTCGTTTCTGGATTATATGAAAAAAATAAAAAACACGATTCGTCAATCTCCATTAAAAGGAACATGATTTGAGTTCGGTGAGTCTACGATTAAAAAAGCGGCAGGCGTCCTGAAAGATTTCATCATAATTATAATTTCCACATCTGTTTCTATGTATTTTATGCTACTGACATATTGATTCTGTGAGGATTTCTATTTAAATTTTGCTACTAATGGGTATCGTCTTCTCAGATTCTTATTGTGTTTTATATTACTTAAGCAGATTAACTTGATGTATATACCGTCGCAACAAATCGCTATTTTGATATCATTATCAATTCAACCCAAACAACGAGGTTGTTTTAATTTCCACTCTAATATCTTGCTTTATGAATGTTTGAAGATTTTGTATTCGGTCTTTAAAAATATTTAATTACATTTACAATATCTAGAGTGCAGGATAGGAATTTTTTTCTTATTTTCATATTCGATAATTTTCATTTTTTATCGACGATATATATACAGTTGTAAATATCAATAAATTAATTAAAAAATAAAGTATTCACTTTCAATTTAGGTATCTAAAACAATTTGTTTTTTAACACGATTGATTTATGGTTATGGTGTATATATATATATATATATATATATATATATATATATATATATATATATATATATATATATATATATATATGTAAAACAATGAACACAGCCGACAAATAAATTAAAAAAGAATATTGTCATTAATAACCTAATTTGATGAATATAGAATACAGCAGCTCTGATAGAATAGAATACAACTCCGTTTTGCCTGTTTTCTAGGACTTGCTTAACACGGAAAAAACCTAATAGGTGTCTCTCATTCATCGTCCTTTCGACTTTATTTAGTGTTAACAGCGTATATGTATGTTTAAAGAATTTAGGCTGGACACCCTAATCCGTCAAATAATGATACTACCTTGCGGCATACAACTCTTGTTGGCAAAAGAGAAAGTTTCATTAAAACAAGAATTTCGAAAAAAACAATGGAAATAAGTAAAACCTAACTGTACAACTAATGTGGCGAACTAAGGTTCCCAAACTGGCGCAAGATAGTAGTACATGCCTCGGCAAAGCACGTTTGTCCAGACAAAACCAACATACTGTATCCACCACGGAATCACTAAAAACTAAATTTTATCCGCTGTTTGAAAGGTAACCCATCTTAAGGTATTTAATATCAGTATACAAGATAGTTTATTTATAAAAAAAAAAAAAATGCCGATAATTTTAATTGGTCTCATTAACTGAATTAAGATTAAAACAACCAAAATAAAAAAGAAATATTTTTTACTCCAGCTAAACCAAAACATACTCTCTAAATTCTGCCTCCCTGACAACGTGCCCCCTTTGTACTCTAGTTTGCCCTCCTCCCGCTAGTTCCGGCACAGTTGGAGCTAAAATTTCCTTGGAGAAATAAATTTATTTGTTAAGCCAATACAAAATCCCGTTGCACAAGAGAGTGCTGTTTTAAAAACTGGAGCAGTTTTATTGTTTGTTTTATTTTATTCTAAAGTAGAATGCATTACAAATTTTGGCGATTGTCCGTTCCATTTAGAAAGGACAAACTTCTGTTCTTTTTAAAATGATCTGTAGTCTTTTGGAGTCTTAAAATCCGAGTTTTTAAAGATAATATTTGTATATAAAGAACACCTCTTGTAATTTACTCAAAGATCCTATTATCGCTAAACTGACATGCTCCTATATATTTATAAATTGAAGTGAGGACGGAGTTTTTGTTGTAATAGCTTGTTTGTTGGAAAAGTCTCCGTGATTGGCGAGCCCCAACGCAGAAAACTTGAATGGAGGAGTTTTTATTTTGTTGTAAGGATCTTTATAGGACCAATGCCGAACAGAACAATCTTTTGTATAAGATATCGATCAATTTATTTCCCATTTCTTTTATAACCATATTATTGTTGACGTCTTTTACTTAACCCTTTAGGACCATTTTGAGTTTAAATATTATTTATAACAGTGCATTGACAACAATTTACAACAGTATAATAAGGACTTCGAAATTCTTATTACAATGGTTTATACTCTCTCATTAAAATGACTCACAAACCAGGTTAAGACATATACAGACCTCCTTCACACAGGCCTCCTTCCTATATGCTCCGAGTTTTAGAAAAAATAATGTACAAAATACTTGTAGACATATCGACTGACCGACAGACAATACCTGACCATCAGTTTGGCTTTCGCACATTCCTTTCGACGACACATCAATTACACAGAATTATTGACTACATTGCTGGAACTTTAGAACAATAACTATACGCTATTGGAGTATTTTTCGATGTTGCTTAGCCGTTCGATAGAATCTGGCACTTAATGTCTATCCTTCAATCTTTCCTCTTCGACAGATTTTTTTCCGTTCAACAGGGCTCGGGAATGTCTTCAATTTGTCCAATCTTAGCAGGAGTTTCCGAAGGTTCAATACTTGCCTCTCTACTTTACATTGTACACACTTACGACATACCTATTACATTTTTATCTGTAATTTCATTTTCTTCGCGGGTCCTGATCGGCTGCCTTCCAGGTACTGCTTCTTGACGTCCACTCAAGGAGAAGTGGGATGGACCCACAGCTTCTTTCCACCGGCATACAATGCTTTTAAAGGGTAGTTTCGTTAAGAAATCAGTTAAGGGAAGTTGCTTTCTGTTAAAATATAGAGCCTTATCTTCCTCATCAATTTAGCATTAAATGCCTCATAGTTGGTGCTACAATCTCATTAAATTATTTTATTTAATAAAATTAATATAAACGTCCTATTTGTGAGCATTTTCGTAGTTTAATTTGTATTTCAGGATAAGATGAAACCAATCACGAAGTTTTCGGCGGATGTTAATAATATCATAAAAAGGGGTTTGTAGTTTGGACTACACTCCATAAATAGTAATCATAACAGAGATTTAAAAAAAAAATCAATTAAATGTATCACTCAGTTGTTTTACATCTTACATTAACAGAACTAAAGTGTTAAATTTAATCTAGGTTTGATTCTCCAGAAGTGGAAAGAGAACAAACGCTGTTGTTTATAATCGTGTGCTCCAATGAGCTGAAAGTTGGGGAGCGACTTAGTCAAAGCTATCGATCCAGTTATCCCGTTTCGGTGAGGTCACCTTAGCATTCTGCCATTTCCTCCTCATCATCAACCCCATTGTATCCACCATAAGTGTCAAGCAAGACTTAACGAACCCCTTCCGACTGTTGCTTACTTCGTGGACGAACTGTGACAGAGGAGAGATAGCAATGATAACGTTCCCCCCACCACCGATTCGACCTGGAGGAGTGGGGGTATCATCTGCTCTCAGCGCCGCAGTCCGCCCTCTGTAATCGTTCAGTGGGTATCTGTCAGCTTCGCTTCTAGTGTGTATCAGTATCTAGTATCTAGTATCTATATCTAATATCCAACCACCTATATCTTAAGTTAGTTAACCAGTGAGAACTTCTTCGTTTGGTTTCATTCTGTCTTCTACTGCTGTCTTCATTCATCATGAAAGAGTGAGTTATTACGGTTATTATTTTTTTACGAAAAATAACGTTAAAAGTTATATATTATGAATAATTTATATTCTTCATAATATCCTCTGACTATCCTCAGGTCTCATTTTTAAAGTAACAATTTTCTAAACTTTATTTATTACATCTAAATATATATTTTTACATGAAAATGTTTTTGTTATTTAAATTCTAGGAAACCATGCAATATACGTGGGTTCAGGAAGAATATTGGCATTTCTTAAACTTAAAATTCACTAAGACAATGTTATTAAACCTTCTTACCTGAGTGACATCTCTGATTATTATTTTAAATTATTAATGGATAGAGTAAGCGCAAATTGAATGCTCATCACTCATCAAAATGAGAAAATTGCATTAATTTTAGGTTTATTCCAATCACTTCCTCAATATCCACACATTTTATTTTAAGTTTAACAATAAAAGGTGTTTCCTTCGTAGGATTATTCCTTTAATACCGCATAGGGCTATCTTAAGTAGATAAAATTGTTACTTACAATTTTAAGGATTCAACACAATGTTCTTAAACTATTGCAATTATAATGTTAGGATTAACAACAGAGTATACAAACACATTGTGTAAAAACAGCAATTGATTTGTCTGGCGTCTACGGTGTGCTAGATTCGTATGAGATAAATCTAACCACTCTAGTTTTATATGTAATGAGGATATTTTTATAATAATGTGTGGAACGTTCATAATATATTATAAAGAAAGACCTCATCAGTCCTTACTATATAAAAATTGCAATAATAACGACTAGTTTGCCTTCAAGCAGGATAAAACTTTTTAAAAAAACATTAAATCTTTTCATTTGAGTAACGTAATTCGTTAATTATTATTTTACATCATTAATTAACCGAACGCAAACGAAATGCCCATGCGAGTAAATTTAATTACTTTGAAGTCGGATTATATCCTTAATGCCTCCAAGAGCGATCTGAGATAAATAAAAATTTTCCTTTCAAATTTGTTGGATTTTACTTGATGTGGTTAATCTATTTTAATTATCCTTTTTATGTGAAAAAAAGGCATATTACATAAGCACGAAAAATAAAATTCAACACCGATTTAGAAAACGTATATCGGGAAAATAACAAATAAATTAATGGAAAATTAGTATAACACTCATAAAATTTGAAAATAATGAAAATAAAAACATAAAAGCAATTACCGTACTTACGTAATTTTGCCATAGATTACCATACTAATCTACGATCTATAAACCTTTTATGAAACCACTATTACCTTATTAGTTTTAGCGAAATTAGTTTTGATTTTCTAAATAAATTTAATTGATTTCATTAATTAAATGGAATTTTAATTAAAAAATTTAATTAGTACTAAATAATTTGTGTATATCTTTAATTGTATCAAAAAGTTAATTTGTATCTAAATTGTAAAATGCAAGCTTGTGAGACTGAATGTGACGATATTTCAGAAATTTTATCTCACAATTAGTATGAACTATAAAAATAATTGTTGTTGATTTTTGTATAAATTATTAAATAAAGTATACAGTTTTTGTATTAATATTGTAAATAATGTTTCAGAGCCCTCACTATACTTTAAGAAAAGCTTATGTTCAGCTAACATTTTATTTTATTATCCACATTTTAATTTATAATCATAATATTAAATTAAGAGATAATTACTTGACACATGCTTTTATAATTAGGAAACATAGATCTTGATTAGATCTTAAGTTGTTTTAAACACAGTAATAATATTAATTTTGATTTTCTGATTCTGAATAAATTATTCTAATTATCACATGCATTTCCGCCCTTAAAAAACTTATATGTTTTATTTACTTTTTTATAGTGATGAATTCTCGTCCATATTCCTTCTAATCAATCTAATATTTATATTTTTGATAATCCTCATAAAATAATAATAAATAATTTTGTTATGTTTTCTTTAAATCATTTTATATGTCATTTTTTTATTATTTATTTTATCGAATGTAGTATAATATGATACGTATTCAATTTTACATTTATTGGGTTTGAGGCTGTGGTGGTCAAACGCGTAGTGGGAGCACCACAAAACTCTTTCTCTTAAGTTAAGAGCGGCACAAATTATAATCCAGTTCTTAAAGGTCGAATTTTAACTTGTCTCAGACTTATTTTTTTATTGAACATGTTTTTAATGACCTTTAGTATTTTCTTACTCAATTTTAAGAGGATGCGTAAGAAATAAAATTGTTTATTATGTGACAGTAATGAAAAAAAACATGAACGATCTTTCTTGTTTGATCGATGTTCATAAGTCAATTTATGTTCTCAATTAAAAAACATTTATCTTTATTTTTTACGTTTGTTGTGCAACTTGATATTTTGGAAGTAGGATTCCCTTTTATTGAATCCTTTATCTTGTTCAAAAATGAAAAAAAAATTATGTCTTGCGAGTTAATAAAAAGATTCTTATTGTAAAATAATACAAGCTGTTTTAAATATATACTTTACTAGTGGAAATAATTATATATATTTTGGTTAATATCAAAACAAGTTTATATCAAAGATTGAGAAAATTTAAGTTTACTAAAATTTTAAAAAAATCATATTTTACAATATTTTAAATAAGAATTTTATTTTGTTTGTACATGCTAAATTTAATTTACAATTTTGATATTTAAATTTTATTTTTTAATTTTATTTTACATTATATTTGCATCTGCGTTGCAATGTATTTAACAAATGTGCTGCCGTTTCGTTCTCTCAAGTATTTCTTGAAAATTATTTATATTGTGAGCAGATCTAGGGGGCACTGACTTTTAGTCTCCTTTTAGACTGCCCAGGTAACAGAGAGGAAGAAAGAGAGAGGACAAGTGGATTATTGTGATTAACAGTTGATGTGTGAAATGTGGTGTATTTGTTAGGTATATAGAATTTTACTGTTAGTATATTCATGTGTATGGTGTGATTTGAAATATACCAGGGTGCATTTGTGATTATTCGGAGTATTTTGGACTGTGCAGGTAAAATATGCCTTACTTTACAATAATGTTTTATATCAATAATAAGCATTATTAAATGACATATTCATTAAATACTTATCTCACTCGTTCTTGCTCCATCCCAGCCAACGATCTGATACGAATCAGCTGAGTCATAGGAAGTCCAGTTATCTTGTTCAGTTAAACCATCCACATAATAAAGTCGGTGTATTTGAAATCCTATTAAACACATATACAATTATTTTTCGGCGTAGTGTTTTTAAATAATTATTGTATATTTTTCAAAATTAATTGGGTGCATATAGCTAAGAACTAATCAGTTAGCACCTAAGTTATTATCCAACTAATCTCTTTTCTAAAAAAAAAAGGTATTGTTCTTAAATTAAGATTTTTATTTTAAAACTAAATTCAATGACATTTTGTAAGAAAATTTTTAATACTACAGAAATATTAAAATAAGTAAACATTTACAGGAATGCAATGCATAACCAATCATATATAATAAAAAAGTGAAATATTGGAATGATAATTAACTTTTATCCTAATTGATTGTATTTTTTTTTTCGTCTATGGAATAATATTTAAATGATCATTTTGACCTCTTTATTTTCTCTATCACAAAAAAAGAAAATTCTATAGACCGAGTTTCTTTTTTGTCTTTGTGTAGATTTTCGAAATTTTAGCATAATTTCTGACATTTTATGCGAATGCAATACATATGAGGAATGTCAATATAACTTTTTATATATTCGGAAATCTTTGACAACTATGTGTTTGTTTGACTATTTCGTTTCTTTATGTAAAACCCGATGTTTGAATTGTAGATTTGGTGGAATGAATTTCGTGTCAACTTTGATTACTTCATTGTTCTCATCAAAAATATAAATTGATTTTAGTAATACTGCATATTTTTAGCTACATATCTTTTACGTGTGATCCTATTCATAGCTATAATTTTCTATATATGTTTATATTATATTTCTGACTCTAATGAAAGTAACTTTAGTCTCGATTATTTTTAAGTGATTATGGGATGAAAATAAAATAATTGAATCTTCCTTCAATAACTTTATTACCAGATCCAATGTCCAAATAGAAAAGCCCAAATACAAATTTCAGATGGTCGCCGTAATGATAACGATAGGAATTTATTATTTCAATTTACTAGTAAAGAAAGTAAAGAAAGAAAACGCCTCGATGGCCAAACTATTATATCTGATAAAACTACTGCAGCTGGTGAGAGATTACTAATGGATTTGTCACTGACTAGTATGAGGAATACTATTGCATAATAATAGTAAAGAAAATTAATGATCAACAAAACCATATTTTAACCATACATGAAAGGAAGAAATAAAAAGGATCAAATGTAAACGGCAGTGACAAATCCATTTTACACAACCTCTTTGCTAACCCCAGCTGTGTGTAGCTACAAAACCTGTCATACACAGTACTCCGCTCGTTGCAATTTCTTTATTATGTGATATAAATACTTATAGATTCTAATTGCAATATTTTTGATAAGCTATTTAGTTTTCTTTATTACATATTCATTATATACATACGCTATTTGTATATAACGCAAGACAACACAACTTTACAGTTTACGCATTTAAATTGGCTAGTAATCTCTTCTTCCTATTGTACAACCAAATTTTATAAAACTACATAATTTAATTGTTATAATGTAATAATATACAATAACATTAAAATTATTTTAATTTTTTATAATAATAGATAATTTTATAGACCTTTGTACAAAGCTGCACCATTTCAAAATGCCTTCAGCATCAGTGTAAACGTTGATGTTTTACAATGAAATATTTCATTTGATTTGTTTAAGTTTGTTCAAAACATTTGGGCTCGTAGTTATCTCATAACCTTGATTTTTGAGTTTTTAAGTTCTGAACTGAGGCATCGAAATGCATCTTTTTATAAACTTAACAATTTACGAAAACATTTCATTTATATTTAGATCCCTATTGAATATTAAATTTTAATTGAACAAGTAACTGATTTACA